AGACAGAGAGAGAGAGAGAGAGAGAGAGAGAGAGAGAGAGAGAGAGAGAGAGAGAGAGAGAGAGAGAGAGAGAGAGAGAGAGAGACGAAAAAGGTAAAACAAAAGCAAAGCCAGACGACAACGGGGGTCCCAGTACATCTCAAGGGAAAAGCAATGGACGGTATTATCCGCGTTCGAAATGGTTGTGCAAAAACAACAACACCTGAATAGCTGCGCTCTCGCAAAGAATCAATCTATAAATAAGTCACAATCGCAAAGAAGCAACCTATCAATAAGTCACAATCGCAAAGAATCAATCTATTAACAAGTCGTGATCGCAAAGAATCAATCTATCAATAAGTCAGAATCACCGATTAATCAGTTACCAATCCTTCAATGATTAGACACGGTTCCGCTTTGCTCGCAACCATTATCCATCGTCACAACATCGCCGGCTTTACATAAAGAAAATCAGAAAAGATAGCGAAGTTTGCTCGTAACAATCATCTCTGCAAAGTGAGAGACCCAACAGATACCGACCGAGTCATCCAAGAAGCTGCACTGACTTGCAGCACCAACCCACAAACGCCATGCTCTCTAGCTTGGACCATAGACGAGAGAGAGAGAGCACTTTACTGACAATATAACCTGAATCGTCTGAGAATTCGACCTTCGTTCTCCCACTCGACCACTCAAATGCTATTGATCGCCTAGCAGATTGCACATAATCTGCTTTATGCTATTGATCGCCTAGCAGATTGCACGCAATCTGCTTTAATCGCCTATAACGGAGATCGACTACACTGGCCGAGCGTCATTACCACCGCTTTCTTGGAACACACGAAAGCCCTGATTCCCATTAGACGAAACGGTCCAGGTTTTCAATCGGGAAAACCAATAGGGAGAAGCAGAGAATAAAAACGGAAGGTCGGAGATGAGAGCCAAAGCATGATGCTGCCCACCGGATCACTGAGCGAATTCGTAAAAATGTGAGATGCCCCGGGAACCTACATGAAGAGCCTGAGCCTCTTTGGGTTCTGTGGAGGTGGCGGCGCGTCCGTGGGCATGGTGCCGGACTGCTTCGTGCCGACATCGCGGAGCCCGGGGATTCCGGTTTTCCCGAGCCACTTCTTGCCATCAATGAAGTTGGTGGAGAGGAACGGCTGCACCTGCTTGTCAGTGAGGCCGAAGGACCATCTGGCGCGCTGACCCCTGCGAGCTCCAGGGCCAGAGCACCTGTACTCGGCGTAGAAGATGGTCTCCTGCCTGGTCGGGTCGAACCAGTCGTTCCATCCCACGGGGAGAATCACGTTGTCCATGTACGTGTATGCGAAGATGGTGCGAGCGGCACGGCCCCAGGCACGGCCCAAGTAGACCTGCCCGGTCCCCTGCACCTTGCACCGGATGAAGACGAAGCCGGTGGGCTCCTTGGTGGAATCCCTCTTCTGAGCGGTGAGGGCGCCGCCCGTCTTCGTCACGTCCGCGAACAGCAGCGAGTCCAGGAACATCGACCTGCCGTTGCCGAAGATGAAGTCCACGCTGCCGCGCACGTACACGTTCTTGAACAGATGCCTCCCACGGTGGCAGTACAGCGTGTCCTGGTAGCCGTAGAAGCGCACGTTGTGGAAGGCGGCGAAATCACCCGTGATGCGGAAAGCCACCGCCTGTTCCGTGAACGAGTTGGGTCGCGGCCGCGAGGCATGGTTCTGGAAGGTAATGTCCTCTGCAGTGAAGTAGTCCGCGTTCACTCCCACAGACGCCGACAGAAACGTGCCCATCGGCTTCTTGGTCGTCTTCAGCAAGGTCGACGCCCGGTCGCCCCAGCTGATCACCGTCCGGTATGGACCTGAACCCCGCAGCGTGATGAACGGCTTGTTCGAAGGAACGGTCACCTTCTCCCTGTACCGCCCGGGCTTGATGAAGATCACGAACCTCTTCGTGCTCTTCACTGGGGCAGCATTGATGGCGGCCTGCACCGTACGGAAGTTCCCGCTCCCGTCCTGGGCCACAACCACGTCTCCCTTCCCACCTGATGAGCGATCTTTGCCGTTGGCGTCCTGGAATCCGACAGCCACGGGGGGAAGAGGTTGCGCACCGACCTTCTCACTGGCCTTAAGCGTGCCAGTGTTCGGCGTCACCAGGTCAGCTTCACCACCTTTGCCGCTGCAGACACCCGCGGCGAACGGGAGCCCGCCACACGCGGGATCTTCACTGGCTGACGACACAGCTGCAATGGACAGCAGCGCTAGCATCGCACCCGCCAACCAACCCCGACCGCTCGGAGCCATGGCGATCTTCCACACAACAACCTACGACGCCGGTTGCCACCCCTCCACCACCACGCAGTCGATGTTCTCCTCTTTCTCTTCTCCAGGCGAGTATGGAGTACCTCCTGAGCGTACCCACTTGCTGCGCCCTCTCTGAAGCGGAGATTCCTACCGACTTGCTGCGCCCTCTCTGAAGCGGAGCTACTTCGCTCCTCGCAACGCTGGAAACGAGATTCAGCATGCCAAAGCTCCTCTCGCACCTCGCTTTTGACTTGCCTGTCTCCGTGGGCAGCCGTCCAACAACCGAGGACGCTCTGGTCGCCCCTACCAGTGCGAATCGCCCTCGTTGGGGACTTCGGGCATCGCCACACCACTCTCGAAATGTGCAAATGAGAATGAACGTCCGGCTACAACATGGCCAGATGCGCACGCCACATTTTTGTCGTTTTCACTTTTCGAGAGTGGTGTGGCGAGTGCCTGGGCGGGCAAGCTGCACGCCACAGGAGGCATGCTCAGGTGGCAGCTCTGCGGGATCACTGGAAAGCGCGGCTTCGACTGCCGGGGAAGATGCCAGCAGCACCTGTGATCCGTCGAAAGGAAAGCTCGAGCGCGCGGAACAGAAGGGGCTCACGGCACTCACATTAGGACTTTTTCCACTCAGCTCCGGTCGCAAATTGCGGTCACATTCATCCGTGGAAGCCCGTGTGCAAGTTGGCGGGATGACTTGAAAAGCGCGGTCTTTCAAAAAAAACAAAAAACAAAAAACAAAAACAAAAGCGCGGTCTCGACGGGAAGGAACAGTCCAGCGGAACTCGAGCTTGCGCATTCAGGAGGGCTTGGGTTCAATCCCCATTGGCCGCATGCACCTTCCTGGGCGAGCTTTGCGCCTGCCACCTAGAGATATGCCGTTGGTCCCCCCGAGTGGCATTGAGCACAGACTGCTGATGTTCATAGGGGGAGGGGACCAGAGGGGAGGCACAGTGACTGGCCCATAGAAGAAGGGCTGACCCCTGGCCGGTATCGCCCACCTGCTGTAGCAGGTACCGCACGTGCTGGTGGGTGCAGCTCCCGGATGTTCCCTTGTTGGAGGCTTGAGCACGGATGTGGCTGCTAAGGGGTTCCCCGTAATACTATAATGACAATAAAAAAGGCCTGAAAGGCCGTCCTGTCCAGATTTGACAGGTAATTGAATTGGTTGGGCTTAAAGAATTAGCCTTAAAA